CTGGCACCTCGACCTTCTGGTCTCAAGCCATCCTCCCACCTCTGTCTCCTGAGTAGCTGGGACTACAGATGCCCACCATCACTCTGGGCTAATTTTTTATGTTTTATTTTTACTAGTGCCAAGGTCTCACTATGTTGCCCCAGCTTGTCTCAAACTCCTGAGCTCAAGTGATCCTCCTGCCTCCGTTTTCCAAAATTCTGGGATTACAGGCATGGGCTATGATGCCCAGACTGAAGTGGTATCTTTTTTTGGTGAGGGGAATGGAGTCTTGCTCTGTCAACCAGGCTGGAGTGCAATGGCGCAATCTCGGCTCACTGCAACCTCCACCTCCCGGGTTCAAGCTATTCTCTTGCCTTAGCCTTCTGAGTAGCTGGGACTACAGGTGCATGCCACCATGCCCAGCTAATTTTTGTATTTTTAGTAGAGATGGGGTTTCATCATGTTGGCCAGGCTGGTCTCTATCTCCTGACCTTGTGATCCACCTGCCTGGGCCTCCCAAAGTGCTAGGATTACAAACGTGAGGAGCCCAGTCCCTGAAGTGGTATATTAATGTGCTTTGTTAATGTCTCTTATTGTTCACATTATATCCTTAGGTCTTGGAATAGTGCCTGGCATATAGTAGGCACTCAGTGAAAATTGTGGTAGTGAAAAAGGATTAATATAATTTGACAGATGGCAACTTTAAAGTGCCTCAATTAGACAGGCTTACCCTAAATTAATTTCTTAGCTATTTATGGAGGGAGACTGAGTCAAAACAAGAGCCAATCTCAAAGATTTATTGGTAGTAAGTTATATAAACAAGGAAAGATCCCAGATTTCTATCACTGAGATATTTCTACTTGTGCTATAATACTTTACAGGTGATGAGTAGTATATGTTTCCATGATTCATTTGATAAAATTTTTAAATGCCTTCTTTGTTCTAGGCACTGTACTGAAAATGGGATATTACTTGAACAAGACAGATATGCATCTTTCCCTCATGGAGCTTATGGTCTACTGGGGGTTTTAGACAAGTAAACAGGCAATTAACAGTACTGCATGACAGATGCTGTGAAGGGGGAAGTGCAGATTGATGTGACATGTAGAAGGAACGTCTAATACTAACATATAAGCCGAATCCTGAGGAAATAGCTGACTTGGTCAGGCAAAGTATTCTAGGCAGTTTGAGCGGCATTGACAAATGCACAGAGATTAGACAAACCCTGGCAAATTGGGAAACTAATACTCTGTAGGCTAGAGAGAGGAGGTTAAGAGGGTAAGTAGGGGCCAAATCTCACATGGCCTTCTAAGTCATTTTAGGGAGTTTAAAATTTATCCTGCAGGATGAGGAAATCTTGAAGCAAAGAAGTGACATGATCAGGCTGGGTGAGGTGGCTCATACCTGTAATCCCAGCACTTTGGGAGGCCAAGGCGGGTGGATCATGAGGTCAAGAGATCAAGACCATCCTGGCCAACATGGTGAAACCCCGTCTCTACTAAAAATACAAAAATTAGCTTAGCATGGTGGTGCACACCTGTAGTCCCAGCTACTTGGGAGACCAAGGCAGGAAAATTGCTTGAACCTGGGAGGTAGAGTTTTCAGTGAGTCAAAATTGCACCATTGCACGGCAGCCTGGCAACAGAGCTCCATCTCAAAAAAAAAAAAAAAAAAAAAAAGAAATGACATGATCACACATCTGATTGTAAAATAATACTAAGACTTCATTGTGGAGACTGAATTGGAGAGCACAAATGTGAATTAAGGAAGACCAGTTGATAAACTTGTGTATTAATTTTGTGAGACAGCTGAGGAGACCTGAATTAGGAAGAGCAGTAGGTAGGTTACGGGAGTGTGGGGAGGGAGAAAAATGCCCTTGGTTTCTGACTTGCATCATGGAGTCAGTGGTGGTTCCATTCACTGGAATAGCAGATTGCTGAGGACCAGTAGGTTTGGGGGATAAGAGGATGTGATTAGTTTTAGATTTGCTGAATTTAAAGGGCCTATACTCAGTTTTTTGGGATTTATTGTGGACTTTCATTTCTTGTGGAAACCAGGGGAAATATCTGTTAGGCATAGAAATGTTGAAATTATCAGTAATATATGGATAGTTACTAAAGCTGTAAGAATAGATGAACCAGATACAAAAATCAACTAAAAATAGATTAAAGACTTAAATGTAAGATCTGAAACTGTAAAACTACTAGAAGAAAACATGGGAAAAGTTCTATGACATTGGATCTGGGCAGTGATTTTTTGGAATATGAACCCGAAAGCTCAGGCAACAGAAGCAAACAGACAAATGGGATTACATCAAATAAAAAACACTTCTGCATATCCAAGGAAATAATCAATAAAGAGAAAAGAGAACCAACAGAATTAGAGAAAATACTTGCAAACCATACATCTAATAAGGGGTTAATATCTAGAATATATAAGGAACTCAAATAAATCAATAGTAAGGAAACAAATAACCTGATTAAAAATTGGGCAAAGGACCAGGTGCAGTGGCTAATGCCTATAATCCCAGCACTTTGGGAGGCCAAGGTGGGAGGATAGCTTGAGTCCAGGAGTTCAAGACTAGCCCAGGCAACACGGTGAAACCCTATGTCTTTAAAAAAATTAAGAAATAAAAAATGGGCAAAGGTGGCTGGGCGCAGCAGCTCACACCTGTAATCCCAGCACTTTGGGAGACTGAGGTGGGCAGAACACTTGAGGTCAGAAGTTTGAGACCAGGCTGGACAACCTGGTGAAACCCCATCTCTACTAAAAATACAAAAATTATCTGGGCATGGTGGCATGTGCCTGTATCCCAGCCACTTGGAAGACTGAGGCTAGAGAATCGCTTGAACCTGGGAGGAGGAGGTTGCAGTGAGCAGAGATCACGCCACTGCATTCCAGCCTGGGCGACAGAGCAAGACTCTGTCTTGGAAAAAAAAAAAAAAGAAAGAAAAATGTTGGCAAGGACAGGGAGGAAAGAGAATCCTCTTAACATGGTTGGGCCAAATGTAAATTAATACAGTCATTATGGACAACAGTATGGAGGCTTTTCCAAAAATTAAAAATATAATTACCATATGATCCATCAATCCCACTACTGGGTATATATCCAAAGGAAATGAAATCAGTATGTCACAGAGAAATCTACAGTCTTATGTTCACTGCAGCATTATTCACAATAGCCAAGATGCAAAATCAACCTAAGTGTCCATTAAGGATGAATGGATAAAGAAAATGTATGTATACACAATGGAGCACTAGTCAGCCATAAAAATAGAAGGAAATCCTGTCATTTGTGATGACATGGATGAACCTGGAGGACATTATGTTAAGTGAAATAAGTCATGCACAGGACAAGTACTGCATGATCTCACATACAGAATCTATAAAAGCGCAACTCATAGAAGTAGAGAGTAGAATGGTAGTTACCAGGGGCTAGAATGGGGTAGTTGGGGAGGTGTTGGTCAAAGGATACAAAACTCAGTTAGAAAGGAAGAATAAGTTCAAGAGGTCTATTATACAAAATGGTAACTAGTTAATAACAATGACTATATTGAAAATTGCCGAGAGTAGATTTTAAGTGTTCTTACTATAAAAAAATAGTATGTGAGGTAATGCATACGTTAATTATCTTGATTTAGCTAATTATACAATGTATACATATTTCAAAACAACATGCACATAATATATACAATTTTAATTTATCAATTAAAATAAAATGTTAAAAAACAATTAAGGCCAGGTGTGGTGGGTCACACCTAGAATCCTAGCGCTTTGGAAGGCTGAGGCAGGAAGATTACTTGAACCCAGCACTCATGATCACCTGGGCAACATAACCAGAACCTGTCTCCACACAGAGAAATTTTAAATTAGCCAGTAGTCCTAATACTGTAGGCTGTACAACTACAGCCATGCACTTGTACTCCTAGCTACTCAGGAGGTTGAGGGAGTAGGATTACCTCAGCGCTCCTTGCTTGATCCTAGGCATTTGAGGCTGCACTGAGCTTTGATTGTGCCTTTGCACTCTGGCCTGGGCTATGGAGCAATACCCTATTTCTAAAAAATAATTTATTAAAAAGAATTGATCAGATTGAGAAGGAACAGCCAATAGGTGGGTGGGGAGAAGCCCAAGAGTGTTGTCCCTATAACCAAGTGACAAAAGTGGCCCTCCCACCCCCCAAAAAGAGAGTATGTGAAATTGACCAGGAAACATGATATATATGAAGAGATGAAAGCCTAAGACAAGGACCCTGTATTTTAGGGACGGACAGAGAAAGAGGAGCTGCCAGGTAGATAGGAAGAGACTGGGAACATTTTGGGTCCCAGAAACCAGGAATGGAGGAATAGCTGGCAATATTTTTACAGAAAGAAATCAAGTAAGATATGGGTGGAGAGGTGGCTATTGGATGTAGCAAAAACATAGACAACTTTGGCTAGAGAAGTTTAATGCAGTGTAGGAGCAAAAGAGGAGGTTACATTATCTTGGGTGACTGGGTCAGAAAGTGAAGACTATGAGTACAGATAATATCTTCAAGAGGTTTAGCTGTGAAGGACATGAAAGGACAGGAACTGGAGGGGGACATAGGTTAAAGGAAAGTAAAATTTCATTAAATTATTTTCTTTTTTATTTTATTTTATTTGTTTATTTATTTATTTTTTTAGAGACAGGGTCTCACACTGTTACCCAGGCTAGTCTCAAACTCCTGGCCTTAAGCTATCCTCCTGCCTTGGCCTCCCAAAGTACTAGGTTTAGGGGCATGAGCCACCACTCCCAGCATTTGGTGTTTCTTATAGGAATGTGATTTGCCGTTTTAGTATTGTGCCTGTTTTCTTAGCTTCATTTTATTTTGAGATGAGAACTGAAAACATGTAACTATTTGCATTGTGTAATTAACCCTTTGCATGTGGTAAGGAAATAGCTTTGCTATCTTAATTAACTAGATTTTCTCTGTATAAATTTTGAGAGATTCTGGATAATGAAATCTCATTTTAATATAATTTGTATTCTGTTTGCTTTTTAGATCATTCATCGAGATATAAAACCTGAGAATATTTTAGTATCCCAGTCAGGAATTACTAAGCTCTGTGATTTTGGTTTTGCACGAAAACTAGCAGCTCCTGGGGACATTTATACGGACTATGTGGCCACACGCTGGTATAGAGCTCCAGAATTAGTATTAAAAGATACTTCTTATGGAAAGTATGTATGCTTTGGGATCCTGCCAGCCTTTCCTAGTTATCTTTTTTTTTTTTTGATTTGAGATGGAGTCTCACTCTGTCGCCCAGGCTGGAGTGCAATGGTATAATCTTGGCTCACTGCAATCTCCGCCTCCCAGGTTCAAGCAGTTCTCCTGTTTTAGCCTCCCAAATAGCTGGGACTACAGGCTCACACCACCATGCCTGGCTACTTTTTGTATTTTTAATAGAAACGGGGTTTCTCCATATTGGTCAGGCTGGTCTCGAACTCCTGACCTCAGGTGATCCACCAGCCTCAGCCTCCCAAAGTGCTGGGATTACAGGCGTGAGCCACTGTGCCCAGCCTCCTAGGTATCTCTTTTATCTGTTGGTATATTCTTGTATATCCATCACCCCTAATACTGACAGGTTCTGCCCTCTGCATCTAGGTTGGTGCTAACAAGAGGGACACCTTTAAAGGTAATGTAACAGATCCTATAGGTACCTGCATTGCTGGCTACTGCTGCTGCTATGCTCACTCAACTCTCATGGGTTGAATGGCCACAGTCCCAGAAGACCTATGCAGACATCCGTCAGAGTGTATCTATATTTGCTTTAAGCTGTGCCATACCCTTGGCAGAGTTCCCTCCTCTGTTTATCTTCAGCCTCTACATTCTGCAAAGATTTGAAATCATTTACCTTACTCTGCCAGTGTTGCAGTGGGAACTGCTGAGTAGTTCCTGGAAAAATTATTTTAAAATGGTACTGTTTTAGGTGCCTCAAAAGTAGCGTGATCTTGGTCTAGCACAAAGCAGCAACCTAAAATACAAATAATCAATCTTGAACATAAAGAGGTAGAAGTATGTAACTTAATACCTGATTTAATAGAAAACTTGAAGGGGGGTAATTCTCATGTGCTTTTCCTAGAAATTATTATTCTGTTACAATAATATGTAATATTAATGGGTTTTAAGCTTCTGCCAAAAACTGTTCTAAATGCTTTATATACATCAAATAATTTAATCTTTACAACAGCCCTATGATGAAGTTGCTAGTATTAGCATTCTCTTTTTTTTTTTTTTTTTTTGAGATGGAGTTTCGCTCTTGTTACCCAGGCTGGAGTGCAATGGTGCAATCTCGGCTCACCGCAACCTCCGCCTCCTGGGTTCAGGCAATTCTCCTGCCTCAGCCTCCTGAGTAGCTGGGATTACAGGCATGCGCCACCATGCCCAGCTAATTTTTTGTATTTTTAGTGGAGACAGGGTTTCACCATGTTGACCAGGATGGTCTCGATCTGTTGACCTCGTGATCCACCCGCCTCGGCCTCCCAAAGTGCTGGGATTACAGGCTTGAGCCACCGCGCCTGGCCAGCATTCTCATTTTAAATAATAGAACACTAAGGCACAGACATAAAGTAATTTGCCTAAAGTCACATGGCTGGTTAATAGCAGAACAGAACCAGGATTCTAGCCTGGTGGTCTGGATTCACAATCCATTCCCCAGGGGTACCTTTTCAACTGTACCTACCATTGATGTACTGTACAGACTGTCTCTGTGCCTCAGTTACTTCACCTATAAAATTGAAATAATAATAGGACTCACTTCATAGGTTCCTGGTGAGGATTAAATGATGTGATGTATGCTCAATAAATATTATCTACTTTTCTTTTTTGAGACTGAGTTTCACTCTTGTTGCCCAGGCTGGAGTACAATGGCACCATCTTGGCTCACTGCAACCTCCACCTCTCGGATTCACCTGATTCTCCTTCCTCAGCCTCCTGAGTAGCTGTGATTGCAGGCATGCACCACCACACCCAGCTAATTTTGTATTTTAAGTAGAGACGGGGTTTCTCCATGTTGGTCAGGCTGCTCTCAAACTCCTGACCTCAGGTGATCCACCAGTCTCGACCTCCCAAAGTGCTGAGATTACAGGTGGGAGCCACTGCAGCCAGCCTATGTTATCTACTCTTATTCAAAGTCCTCAAAATTTTTTTCTTCATTTCTTTTTTGCCTCTGGGCATGATATAGCCTACATAAGATCTCTCTGTCTCAGTTTTACCCTCTGTTCATTCTGTAGCTTAAATTCCTTTTCTGATACACTCCCTCGTCCCTCAATCCTATTCTACATCTTTTAGTACATTATCTGTAAATTTTGTGCCAGTTAATAGTAACATGGGCTAGTTCTTTCTCTAGCTCTTTTTTATTAACCTCCCACTAAAAATTAAGTTCCTTGAGGATCAGCATAACCTCTTGTATTCTGCATAACGAAACTTGGTGCCTTGTCCATGGTAAGGTTGAATTCTAGGAGACTTCACATTGTGTTTAGAACAAATTTGCTAGTGAGTCCTTTTTAAAAACCTTTTGATTGTAAAAGAAAACACAAACACAGAATATCACACATAACAAATGGACAGCTCTACTACCTGGTCAAAAAATAGAATTTTGCCCACCACCCCAGAAAACCCTTTGTGTGCCCTACTGCAATTGTAACATGCTCCCTTCCCTACAAAGCAGCCATGATATTGACTTTTATTGTAGTCATTTCCTTACATTTTTAAAAATAATGGAGACAGGTCTTGCTATGTTGCCCAGGCTGGTCTTGAACTCCTGGCCTCAAGCAATCCTCCTGCCTCAGCCTCCCAAAGTGCTGGGATTACAGGTATGCGCCACCAGGCTTGGCCATTTCCTTGCATTTTAAAGATAGTTTTATCACCCAAATGTGCATCCATTTAGTTTAATGTAGGCTTTTTCAAGATATGATTCACATATCATACAATCAGACATTTAAAGTGTACAGTTAAGTGGTTTTCAGTATATTCACAGAGTTGTACAACCACAGTCATAGTCAATTTTAGAACATATTTATCACCCACAAATGAAACCTGTACACATTAGTAATAACTCTCCATGTCCTCCAAACCCTTCTAGGCCTAGACAAACTCCTATCTGCTTTCATTCTCTCTGGATTTGCCTATTCTGAACATTTCATATAAGGAAAATTATATAATATATGGTCCTTCAGGACTAGTTTTTTTCACTTAACATAGCATGTATTAGTACTTCATTTCTTTTTTTTTTTAAGCAGAGCTGGGGTTTCACCATGTTGGCCAGGTTGATCTCAAACTCTTGACCTCAAGTGATCTGCTCACCTCGGCCTCCCAAAGTCCTGGAATTACAGGCATGAGCCACTATGCCCAGCCAGTACTTTCTTTTTATGGCTGAATAATATTCCACTGAATGGATAGACCTCTTTTTATTTACCTTTCATCAGCTGATGGACATTTGGGTTGTTTTTACTTTTTAGCTATTATGGGTAATGCTGCTATGAGCATTTGTATACTCATTTTTGTATGGACATATGTTTTCATTTCTTTTAGGTATATACTTAGGAGTTAGAATTGTGGGTCATATGGTAACCCTATGTTTAACCTTTGAAGAACTGCCAGACTGTTTTCCAAAGTGTTTGTACCATTTTACATTCCCACTAGCGGAGTGTGAGGGTTTCAGTTACTCCCTGTCTTTGCTAGCACTTACTATTATTGTTTTGTTTTTATAGCCATCTTAGCCCTTTTTTTTTTTTTTTTTTTTTTGAGACGGAGACGGCCTCCCAAAGTGCTGGGATTACAGGCTTGAGCCACCGCGCCCGGCCAGCCTTTTTTTTTTTTAAGTAAACTTTATTTTGGGATAATTTTAGATTTACAAGAAAGTTGCAAAGATAGTATAGAGAGTTTCCGTATATTCCTCACCCAGTTTCTGTTTACCCTAATATTATCCTATTATTACGGGTAAATTTGTCAAAACTAATCTTGTCCTAGCCAGGCAGGTGTCATGGCACATACCTGTAGTCCCAGCTTCTTAGGAAGCTGAGGCAGGAGGGTCACTTGAGCCCAGGAGTTTGAGGCCATAGTGTGTTATGTTTGTACCTATGAATAGCCACTGCAATCTATCTAGCCTGGGCAACATAGCGAGATTCTATCTCTAAAAAAAAACCACTGGCCGGGTGCGGTGGCTCACAACTGTAATCCCAGCACTTTGGGAGGCCGAGGCGGGTGGATCACGAGGTCAAGAGATTGAGACCATCCTGGTCAACATGGTGAAACCCCGTCTCTACTAAAAATACAAAAATTTAGCTGGGCACGGTGATGCGTGCCTGTAATCCCAGCTACTTAGGAGGCTGAGGCAGGAGAATTGCCTGAACCCAGGAGGCGGAGGTTGCGGTGAGCCGAGATTGCGCCATTGCACTCCAGCCTGGGTAACAAGAGCAAAACTCCATCTCAAAAAACGAAAAACAACAACAAAAAAACACAGCACTAAACCATTGCCAACAACAAAACTAGCCTTGCCTTTTTTTATTTAAAAAAGATTTGATTTTTTTTTTTTTTATTTTGAGGATGAGTCTTGCTCTGTCACCCAGGCTGGAGTGCAGTGGCACACCAGCTCATGGCACCCTCTGTCTCCCAGGTTCAAATGATTCTCATGCCTCAGCCTGCTGAGTAGCTGGGATTACAGGTGCCCATCACCACACCTGGTTAATTTTTTTTTTTAAGATGGAGTCTTACACTGTTGCCCAGGCTGAAGTGTAATGGCACAATCTCCACTCACTGCAACCTCTGTCTCCCAGGTTCAAGTGATTCTCCTGCCTCAGCCTCCCAAGTAGCTGGGATTACAGGTGCCCATGACCATGCCTGGCTAAATTTTTGTATTTTTAGTAGAGGCGGTTTCTCTATGTTGGCCAGGCTGGTCTTGAATTCCTGACCTCAGATGATTTGCCCACCTTGGCCTCCCAAAGTGCTGGGATTACAGGTGTAAACCACTGCACCTGGCCAATTTTTGTATTTTTAATAGAGATAGGGTTCCACCATGTTGGCCAAACTGGTCTTGAACTCCTGGTCTCAAGTGATCTACCTGCCTCCACGTCCCAAAGTGCTGAGATTACAGATGTGAACCTCCATGCCCGGCCAAGATTTTATTATTATTATTCTTTTTTTAGATAGAGTCTTACTTTTTTGCCTAGGCTAGGGTGCA